TATTTGGATAGTCCACCTACAGATCGAGTATTTGTGCAGAGTATTATATTCCTATTTTTACTGTTGGGGGAGCAGAGAACTAAGACTTTCATTGCTAACGACTGCTTCACTGAGATCTTAAACTTGAACTGGATTTTGCTGACTGTAGCAGTTGTAACTTGCCTAATAGAAGTCACAGTCTGCCTCCTTTAATCACTGCGTCAACGAGAAAAACATTCTTACAGTACAAATCTTGTGGCAGATATGACACTAAAGGGACATTTACTTTGTGTGAGAAAGCAGAACATACACACACATACTCACTGTCTCTTTCTCTCTCTCTCTCACACACAAACACACACACACACACACACAAACGTTTATAGACAGTAATTAGTGTGTGTGTTGAGCATGAAGAAATTGCAGTCGGGGGGGTTGTTAATGCAGCTCAGGACAAAGGGCTGTCAAACAAACTGATTCTGCTTCACCGACGCTCCCCTACAGGACACATTCCAGATACAAGAAGGCCTGTCTCTAACGCAAAGTGAACAGGGGATTAAGATGAGGAAAATTAATTAAAACATAAATATGGATTCGCTCCTAAAGCTTGCTAACTGATTTATCATTTCCATGTCATTTACCACCAACTCTCTGAAGCCCATTTTCACACAGTTTCTGACAACCTCAGAGGGAACTGTGTGTGAATGTTTCCCTGTGAGGTTTAATTAAATCTTTTATTTTGGTCGAATGCAAATGAATATCTAGGTTTCTGGTCTTTACTCCCTCTTACTCCTAAATGTGGATTTCCTTAGGCCGAGATACGGCACCATCACTTTACCTCACCAAACCCAACTGACACCCATGGGTGAGTAATTACATCATTAGGCATACAAATGGGCTAATTTAGCTTCTTTCTTTTTTTTTCTTTTTCTTGTCTAAGGGTCCAAGACTATGACCCAATTTAAATATCCAATAACAACTCAGAGAAGATCTCCTGAGCCAATGGGATGCATGGCGCCACCCACCTACATGCATAATAATAAGGAGCAGGATAATAACACAAGGGGGGAAACTTGCAAAAGCTGCAGCTTGCTCAGTGTGCTTTGGAGATTACTTTGCCTCTCTTAAAACCTTCACCATGGTCGACGCCTTCTGTGCCACTTGGAAACTGGTTGACAGTGAGAATTTTGATGAGTACATGAAAGCACTCGGTGAGTAAAAGCCTTCTTTTTCTTCCTTTCTTGTTCTGTTTTACGTTTTAGTTTGTTTGTTTTATCATTTCACCCAAAAATGCGATAAATAAAATTATTTTCAGATATTTTTTTGTGCCCATACCAGATGAAATGTTCAGAGGTTAACATAAAACAGGCCATTAACAGCCATATTTTACCCTTGTCCCCTGGTCAGGAGTGGGCTTTGCCACCCGGCAGGTTGGTAATGTGACCAAGCCGACAGTAATCATCAGCCAGGAGGGTGACAAAGTGGTGGTTCGCACCCAGAGCACCTTTAAAAACACAGAGATCTCCTTCAAGCTGGGAGAGGAGTTCGATGAAACCACTGCTGATGACAGGAACTGCAAAGTAAGTTGATCACAAAAATCCTTGTCTACATTCCTGGTTATTCATAAAAAGATAAACAACATGTAAGTAGACTGTGATTAGATGCAAATTCAAGAATGTTCCTCCTTGCTGAACAACCCATTAAACCACCAGTCCAGTCCGGAGACACCAGGAGTGCTTAACTTGTGTTCAACTAATAAAATTCATTCATAAAAATCGTATTCAATTCAAGACTTTATTCTTAACTCTCACGTGTGTAGAGTAGAAAATGACTTAAAAAGTAGTTTGTGGGTCGGTAATGAGAATTGACATCTTGAGATCTCCGGAAATAGACCAGCAACTGGCTGCATCTTAATGCACTCATTTTCCGCCTCACTTGCTAAAAGCATTCTTTGTCTTTTAGTCCACGGTGACAATGGATGGAGACAAGTTGGTCCACGTCCAGAAGTGGGATGGCAAAGAGACCAAGTTCGTCAGAGAAATCAAGGACGGAAAGCTGGTCATGGTAAGCCATACAGATCCAGATTACATATACTTGTTTGACTTGGCTTATATTGGCTTATAATATATATTATATATTGGCTTATATACACCAAGTTTTGGTGTGGCCATAAATTACAGTTGGGTGCCTCTAAGGAAGCTACAGAAGGTACAATCATAGTCTGGGAAATGTATTATGCATTTTTAGAATATAGCACCAAGAAATACATAGTTTTATAAAATATTTATGATGTGTCAGGAGCTCTCAAATCAATTGTTATCAAATCAGTTTTCTTTGGAAACTGCTTTTGCGCACCAAGCTTTCCCATTCGCTCTTTTGTGTGGGCTCTCATATAAAAAGTATCTAAGAAATCAGAAAATATAATACTAGTGCTTTCTTCATGTTAAAAAGGAACAGATTCCTTTTATTATGCATTCATAGTCAAATTAGCTTCCTGTTATTCAACCAAGTAAATGACCAACCAGTCAGCTGCCAAACGCTTCCTCACTAGTTGTTACAAGTTCTCTGCTCAACCACAACGCTGACCTGTCATTTGTTGTTAAAATGAGCAATTTGGGGACGTTCAATTCCCTGTCATGGTAACTGTCTTCTCTCCCCTGCAGAATTTGACCTTTGAAGACATCCATGCGGTGCGTACCTATGAGAAGGCATGAGTGCTCCGGCCGACAGCATCCCAAACTGGCCAAGAAGTGTTGATTTTCTAATTATTATTGACTGTATGCTTCTCTTTGCACTTCATCCTCTTCCACGTGTACACGGCCTGCAGGCTGCACATGTTTTGTAAGATTTTTTGTTTTTTATATGAAAACATTTCTGTCGTGATGGATGGATCGTCTTTGCAGCCCTGTGTGAAACATCAAATAAAATAAAAAACACAGAGATTAAATTCTTGTCTCTTGTCTGGTGATGTATTGATATTGTGTTATAACAGTTCCATCATTCATTCAATGAGAGTCAATGAGAGAATACATATTCCTCAGCCGAAACAATTGAATCCCTATCTGCTCCGTATCTTGACCTCCGATTTTGTGGAGGAGGGGAACAGACCATTAAGTGTCACTGTATTATGAACACACAGACATTATTCTGTAGTTGCACAATAAAACAAATACACAACAATCTCTTATTGCAACACATTGTTTGTGTTTAAGAGTATTTCTGAGAATCAGGGCTAGTTCATTTATAAAACAAATCCAATACAATTTCCTATCCCAGCTTCAAAACCTTTCGGCGTAATGAGACGATTATCTGGGACAAAGTGGAGCAATATGCCAAATTATCCTCTCAGAGCAAACGGTTTGTCTCTGATTGCTCCCCTGATGGGAGTTTTATCTGATTTTAAGGCCTCAAATGACTCTTTAATCCCAGCCCCAGACGTATGTTTTGACTGGACTTTTTATTCAAGTCCTGTACTTAAAGGGTCAATTCACCCAAATATATTGTATCACTTACTTCTAGTAGTATCATGAAGACTGGTTTAACTTTCAACTTACGACGCATTAACTATTTGCACAAACTATTATCTTTAAATTGCACATGTATTTTATTGCATATTGCATACAGTGTATATATTTTTAATTATAGTTTTACATTTTCTATAATATTTTATAATATTCTTATTTTGTGATTCTTTTTTGTACTTTTACACTTTTGTACTTTTTGCACTATATTCCCCTATGCTGCTATGTCTGATTTGAATTTATCCTACGGGGGATCAATAAAGGAACATCTCATCTCATCTTATCTTGCCGTGCAAATAGCTTTAGGAAAGAAAGTGGAAAAATCTATGTTACACAAAATAATGTTTTCTGTGCATGTGAAATACTAGATAGTTTAACCTCTGTGGGTCCCTAAAATCCTTCAAATCAAACAATTCAATAAGGAAAAATCACGCTTTAGTTGAACTTCACATTAGGCTATAATTTGTGATGAAGGGTCACATAGACCAAAAAGGTGGCAAACTATTTCTATCACTATGATTTTATGTTTTTACATTTTGTGAGAATAAATGTTTACTTCACTACATTTATCGGACAACACGAAGGAGGATATGGAATAGCTGAGTTTAAAAAACGAAACACATTTCATCGCATTTCATCATCATTAAAGGATTTAGTTTATCTGCTGAAATAGGGCTTTCCTTGTCAGCATCACACAGAGAAGAGTAAATAATATGAATACTTCTGCCACCTCTGCTCTGTTCCTACAGTGTAAAATGGATTTTTTGGGAAGTTAAATTTAAAACATTGCATCCTATTTTATAAGATCATCATATATTTTGCACGTAAGTGTCAAATAATTGTGATGGAGTAAATGGTACAGTACAAGTACCTCAATGTTATACTTCAGTACAGCACTTGAGTAAATATATTAAGATTCAAGCTACTACACTGACTTTCCAGCTCGAACCCTGCAGAAGGACAAACCCTGCAGGAGGACAAACCCTGCAGAAGGACTAACCCTGCACACTTTCTGTTTTCATTTTTAGAAGTTCCTCCCCTTCAGCTTCAAAACACAGGCAGTCACATGACCAGTTCCTCGCTGTACTTCCTGTTTATGTCAGAGGAGAATGACCTGCCGTCGTGTGCCACTTTAGTTTATATGTCTGCAGAGAGGTCATACTTTGTGGTTTTAAACCCAACGAACATGGTTTGTCTTTTGAGTTTTGTGCTGCTGCTGAGCGGCGCGGCTCCGCTGGCGGCGGCACCCACAGGGAGCAGCTACCTGCCGGGCACAGGTGAGTGGAAAAGCCCCGGACTTCTCGCTAGTAAAAACTCAGGTGAAAAACTGGTCGTTTATATCTGCCTTATGTCAGTATACACAGAACTACACAGCCTGAAACGTGCAGCGTGAATTACTTTTGGTTCATCTGCTGTAGGTTTAGTTTTGCACTGCAGTCAAGTTGGAAACCGGATGAACAATATGAAACGTGTTGAGATTCAGCTATAAAAATAAATGTTATTACTTTATTTAGTGCTGCTTGGTGGATGTCATGTTCGCCGAATTTACCAAAAGACATTGTCGATTAATAATAAGTGTTCAATTTTGCTGTGAAAGTTACAGTTTGTTTGCACGTGATCAAAAATGTGGTAATTGACTGTTTTTTAAACGGAGTTTCGCCAGAAACGTCACCAAGGAGAACCGCACACTCCTCTACACTTAATCCCACATTTAATGGAGCTATTGAAGGTTTTATGGCCCAAAGTTTGGATGAAAGGTTTACAGTTTGTTTTAGAACTAAATAAAATCAAAAATAATAATCCCCTAATATTATATGTACTATAATAAAGTTAGATAGATGAAAAAAACAGATCTTGATCTGGTTGTAGAAGCAAAATCTAGTCTTCTTTGCTCTATGATTGTACATTTAAGTTAGTTTGAAGTGAAATACCCGTTAGGATTTCTCTAAATGTGTAGATAGACTCAGTTGCACAGATCTGTTTAGTGGTCATTGTGTGCCTCAAACTATATTTTAGTTTATTTGTCTCTGTCTCTTTCTTTCATCTCTATAAACCTGTCATGCTTTCTTCTTATTCACTTTGCCCTCCATCTATCCAGGCAGGTTCTGGCACATTACAGACCTCCACCTGGACCCCACCTACCACCTGGCCCCTGACCCCACCAAGGTTTGCTTCTCCTCCAAAGGAGTCCCTGCAACCCACGCCGGCCTGTACGGGGACTTCCTGTGTGACTCTCCCTACCGCCTCATCCAGTCAGCCTTCGCTCACATGGCACCGCTCACACAGCCACAGGACTTCATCATATGGACCGGGTCAGTACACTGATGAGTAATAATGATGGACGGAGAGATGGATGTAAGATTTTTCTGCTTTTTTCTTTTTCTTCTGTAAAACTGGAACCAAACACTGAATAACCACAAGTTGTTTTGCATGAAAATGATCAGCAATGTGATTAACCAGTACATAGGAACAATATCTGTGGCCTTACAGTAGTTTCATATCCTGTTCTCTGTCTGTCCTTGTGTGCTTTTCTGTGTGTGTGTTCTGTGCTTTAATGT